TTCAGTTCTTTGCTCTTCGGTCTTCTGCGAAAATACATTCTATGTCTGACCCACACCATATACTACTTATATGGATATAAATAGACCACACCACACTACTACTAATACTACTAATAATAAGAATAACAGAAAAATATTCAGTGTAACCTTGTTGAATTATTCAATATAAAAGGTTAGTTTTCAGGCATTAGTTTCGGTTATTGAATGAAAACAATATTTTGGAATATTCTATTATCTTAAAAAATAGATTATTATAGTAAGTGTATTTATTAAAGTATGTTATTCTGGAAATATTCACAAATTTTCCATAGTTCACGTAGTAACAAAAGGAAAACAAACAATACGCTCTGTACAATTAGATAAATTTATACATTATATAAATAGATACACAAATTGTGTATTCCTTTATCAGAAGGGGGTTTCGTGGAGATTTTTGAAATTTTATACAGTTGAAATCATGAGTCAATTGAAGTTAAACCACCATGGAAAAAATGGAAGCACTGTACGGCCGTTTCGTCTTATTGTGGGACTCCTCCTCAGTAGTGCGCATCCACGATCCCGCCTCACGAGATTCGAACCCAGGACCTACCAGTCTCGCGCGCTGTTTCGGAGTCTCACAATAGGACGAAACGGCCGTCCAGTGCTTCCAGATTTTCCATGGTGGTCAAGCTTCAATTGACTCATGATGTCATCTATAAAATGTATATTTCTTTATTGGTGTGCTTAATAATGACCAATTTTTAGTGTACATTTCTCAATGTTTTTAATGAATAACCATGATAATTCAAAGTTAAAACAAGTGGGAAACGAGAATATTAATTAAAATTATTATTATTATTATCATTAATGGGTTTATTCAATATTTCAACAAGTTTCCTATTCTTATCTCTTGATCGATGCTGATGATAAATATTGAAATCTTGTAATGATACTGAGTAATCGCCTTGTAAATCATTAAACTAGAATTCTTAAATATGTGATTATATCATAATTATGATACATGTTTAGAATTAGTAAGAATTAAAGACAGTTCAGCTTGCCAATTGGTGTTAGATGTTAGCAGTTTGGGAGTCAGCATCTAAATAATGTTGATTCTTTCATTGCATATTCTCAACCACCACAGTGTATCTGATGATTGTACTAATTGTAACTTGTACAGCAAAAGGTTATAAGCTTTTCATAAACGCTCATAAATAGGTTATGGGATTATTAGATATAAAGACAGATCACTTGTTAAAATATCTAGATGGCAGGAACAAATAGCCCAGATATTCAAACAGGTCGCCTATAAATAATGAATAAAATATCATGCTCTAATGTAAAAATGGAATGAAGTTAGAAATAAGAACTAATTCATTCCTTATTACTAACAAACAAACAACTTAGTAGTTTTTTGTAAAATTAATCTCGTATAGAATTGTGACTATTAAGGATTTAACAGTCTTAGATAAACAATGATAAACAAATGATAAAATGACATTCATTAAAAGTAAACAAGTAACTATAAGCAATTATGTATGGTGTCTAGCAGTGGAGTCCAGGACGCATGTTTCGTCCTATCCGAGACTCGTCAGCTGGATGTACCTGCATCCTAGAGTTGATGTTCCTTCTGGGACTGATCAATTGCAGTCGTAAATATCAATGAGAAAATTCAAACAAACAATACAAAATAAATGCAAACTTTATCCAATTGCACAAGCTAGTAGCTACTATTATTGATCGTACTAAATAAACGATACTCATATTTTGAAAATTTTGCTTTTGAATACAATAGCTAATGTATATAAGCTATCTAACATAGTTTCTGAGGCTTTCTGTCATTACTACGGTATGAAGAACAAGTAATATTTCGTGATTGTAAGCGATTGATTGGGAGCTATTGTAGATATATGAACTAATCACAGTTGATATTGGTTTTGGTTGACACATTGTATTTATTTATTTGGTTTAATCTTAAATCAGTATACAACAATCTTTCCTTTCTATATTCAGCTGTAACCAAAGAAGCACAACTATGTTGGGTATATGCCATTTACTCGATAATGACATTGAAGGATGATTACATTAAATCGAAAATTGATTGAACTTAGATATGGAAATTATCAGATGTTAATTCAGTGGTCTAAATGTTAGATGCTTGCTGCAAGATTTGAATGTCCTAAGTTTGATTCTTGGTAGTCACGGATATTTACTGTCAATAAGTTCCATGCTTGGACTAAATAGTGAACCAGTGCTTACGAGTTCTAGTGAAAAGCCGTGACCAGTGAAATTCAACCGTTCTGGGTATGAAGTAGTTATCCACTGAACACAGTGAAATATGGTAGCGCAATGTCTTGCATTGACTGAAATTAGACATTAACACCGTCGGAATCCGGCTTACCGGTTTGAGCGTTAAGTGTTCTCGCGTGAGACCTATGGTCCTGGGTTCGATTCCTGAGTACAAAGTTGTCCGTTTGGATCCCTGAGAAGTCCTATACTATAATAAAACGGGCATGTAGTTCCTACAAGTTTTCAATAGTTTTATTACTTGGATCAGTTCATGGTTTTAATGAAATAATAATAAATGTTATTATCAGATCAAATATTTGTTTCAATGAAATTCAATAATCTTCACACCGCATTATTATTATTTTGAAACGGGATCATAGTTTATCACCAACCAACTAAATTCTTCTCTCTCATATTGAGAATTAATTTTATGCTACTTTTAAGTGATCACTTATCCTAACAAGAAGTAGTGTTATTTATGACCCCACGTACTCTACCTTAAAAAATGTAAGATTTTATGCTTGAGGGTGTATTTATGTGTATGCACATGTCTCAACTCCAAGATTTATTTTATTTTCACTCATTGTTGTATAGTTATTTCATTCTCATAATTTCCTGTCTCGTTTAAAACTAAGTTTTCTAAAATGTGTCAATCATCATTTTCTTTCTCAAACTCTATCATTCATTGTAAATTCAGTCTGTTTTTAAGCTAATGAAAAACTATATTTTCATAGTTAAAATCATAAGTCAATTGAAGCTAGACCACCATGGGGAACCTGGAAGCACTGGACGGCTGTTTCGTCCTATTATGGGGCTCCTCAGCAGTGAGCATCCGTGAACTCGCCTCGCGAGCGAGTTTCGAACCCAGAACCTACCAGTCTCACGCCAGAGCACTCAACCGACAGACCACTGAGCCGGCATCCGATGGTGTTAATGTCTTACTTCAACCAATCCACGAAGTTTGAGTCACCTTTCACAAATTCTCTTCGGTGAGTTGTTATCTCACAACAGACGTGGTTGAACTTCACTGGTCACTGCTTCTCACTAGAACTCCAGGACAAATATCTTGAAATCAGTCACTAGTGAGCATATGATTATAATGAGAAAGAGTTTTTATACTGAAATCTCCACAAAACCCCCTCTGAAAAACTATATAAAGACTTCATTTTATTCTACAAATTTGCAAGTGAAATAATTTATGTATGTTAATGCAGATATTATCAAACAATTATATTTTTACATGTGGTATTCATCATCTATTTCTTTCATCTATAAGGTATTATTGAAAGTATAGATAAACTGAAACCTGTTTAATCCTGGTATGGAGTTCCTCAGAAGAGTTTATTCACAATCTCATCACGTTTTAAAGAGAGCTCATGGATATTAGACTAATGAATTGTTTGAAAATGGTACAAACTTTCAACTTCAGTCAATTTGTAGGATTATGTGACAACTATTCAGTACCATTATTGATAGCATTTCACAGTTTTGACTAAGTTAAATTACTGAATAGGCAATCTGAATAAAAACGGAAATAAAAGCTATCGACTGACTGAACATCATGAACAGTGCATTGAATTCCTACTTCAGTAAGTGGAGTATGAAAAATTGATACTTAGATTATCATAATAAACAGGTCTATCCAAATAATGATTTTAATAAAATCCATCATCTAATTTACTTCTAAAACCCATAAAACTTTAAAGATACTATAAAGTGCGATCATAATGACTGTTTCATATTGAATTATACCCAAATTTTAAATAAAAGTCATTTTACATGCAGTTTACTCGTGAAGATGTAATATGTGGTGTCATAGAGTTGATACTGACACACACTCGGTCTATAGATCAGCTCAGCTACTTGAGAGTAAAAACGAAGACTGGAAAAGGTTTATTCGAATAAACTAAATTGATTGTATGTGCACTCATTGATATATATGTATTATCCCTTGTAAATAAAACTAGTTTTCAGAGAATCTCAATCATTTATCATTGACCCACTGAGTCAGAAGATATATTTTCATACAGAATACTTACAAATAAAGTATAATTGTACATTCTTTTTGTAGTTCACCGACATCATATTTGTAGAACAACTTAAGTAATGTCATGAGTATCTCGCTTTAATTCATCATATTTTCAAATATCATTTGATTTAAAAATATTCAATTTGAATAAACCAATTTTTATATCTTTAAGTTGATATTAATGATCATTTATACATTCTGAGCCGAGACTCTAGATATTGAATGTTTGAGGGGCGAACTTGACTTGGTTCGAATCCCAGTGAAAACATCAGCACTGAGATTTAAGTCCATCCAGCTAACGAGTAGTAAATAGGACAAAACATCTTGCTTCCTACTACTACTACTACTACTACTACTACTACTACTACTACTACTACTACTAGTAGTAGTAGTAGTATCACTACTACTACTATTACTACAACTACTATTACCATTACTACCACTACCACTACTACCACTACTACGACTACCACTACTACTACTACTACCAAGACTACTACTACTACTACTACTACTACTACTACACTAAAATCATCAATACGATCTACTCACTACAGTAGTCATCTCTGTTGCCATCCCATTTTGCCCATAATAATAATAATAACAATAGCAATTAGATTAATAAATTTAATTAATTAAAATACATGTAAGGTCATTCATCATTATTTTCTATTCATAAATTCATCATACAAAATATTCATCCTTGATTCTTATTGGTTAATCTTTGAAACTGTTTCAAAAAAATATTGACTATCAATATGTCTATCTATCTATCAATAAGTCTATCTATCTATCTAGTTGGTTTAATTAATTGGTATCTAGTTGGATACATTTCAAGCATTGATACATAATTAACTGTTAAGAGAAAAAAAACAAATAAATAAAACAAGACTAATTTACAGACACATTTGACTCAATGAAAAATTGCACCATAAAAGATGATATCATCAATAATGTACACATACCACATTAAATTATTTCACTATTATTAAAGATCATACATTCATGGAATTTGTTGGTTAATTCATAAGTAAAACATTTTACGATCAGTGAAGAATGGAAAGATTACAACAATTATTAAAACAACAGTCATTAACACAAACCCCATTCCAACAACAAATGCCAAATCAACTATCTAACTCTCAAAACTATCTGAATTCTACAAATTCACATGAACAACCTGTTAATCATGAAGATGATGAAGATGATGAATCATTACAAGAATTTTCGAAACCTAATAACAACCAAAGCCAACAACAACAACAACAGCAAAAACAAACTCAATTACCACAACAGACACCGCCTCCTATGTACCAACAATATTTTTCACAACAAGAGCAACAATCACAACAGCCAATGCAATCAGAGTTTTCACTTCGTCATCAATCACAAGCACAACAGTCTTTGCAAGGATCATCATTACAACCATCAGTAGAGCAGCAGTCAGCATTAGTGTCTTTGCAAAACACTCAACAACAACAACAACTGAATGATCAACCATTCAATCGAAAATTTCGTCAATCTTGGCGTAAAACACCAGATAATTTACCGACTAGACAATTAAAAAAAGCAACTAAATTACTAGAGAATGATTTTAGTTTACAAGATGATGATTATGAAGATGAAGAGGTGAGTAGACAAATGTAGGAAATCATATATATATCGAAATGTGTTTAAATTTTTTTGTTTGTTGTTTGTTGTTATTGGTAACGAATGAGCTTTTTGTTGTTTATTCAGTGAACTTGTTTCTTCCCATAGGTTTAGTCTATCTAGATTGAATTGAATAGTATCTAATCTATCAGAAAATCTCTATTTCTATCAATTTTGTTATGATCATCTAATTAAAAGAATGATAGGTGTTTGTAGGTATCATTACCAAGTTTTGATTTGATAATTTTGAATAAATTGAACATTGAGTAGATTGTTATAAATAAATTAATTAGTATATTTGTAATATCCCAATGAGTAGGAAAATTAGGTTTTTCCTGATGTTTCGTGACTCAGTGTAAGTCACTTCTTCAGAGAATAAATAACCAAATTGAAATAAAATTAAGTGATATTGTAAATATATATCTGTCCCTTATGAAATAGTTTTTCTTTTAAATCTTCTCGAATGACTCTTTAAAAATGAGATTAATAATAACCATTATGTGGATACAATATGTTTCATATCATAACTGATTCTTTTTAGTCGAATTGATATTTGACTAACAATGCAATCCAGAGTAGGTGTTTCGTTCTAATCAAAATTCATCAGTTGAATGTGCCTACCACATCCCAATGTTAATGATTAGCGAATAACTTACTGGTGTCTGAAGTTAAAGTTACTAGATTCAAGTTTAGTTTGATTACAAACACTGAGATGTGGGCATGTTTAGATATTCGGTTTAAAGTAAAATCAAATAGGCTTCCTGAAATATGTTGATAATCATATACTACATACATGATCACTTTTGAATAAAAAATATACTAATACATAAGAACTTTCGTCTAAATTAGAGCGAATAGTTTCACAGTATTTGGTCGCCGAGTTGATGTAAGACATTAAATAGGAATAATATATTTGTAAAATCTCAGCAAATGAATTTGAAGTAAATCCAATGTGTCGCCTGACAATCTGGTCCAAGCTTCTTATTTCCTTGGAAAAGCTTAAACCAGATTGCCAGGCGAAACGTTGGATTTACTTCAAATTCATTTGCTGAGATTTTACAATTATATTATTCCTATTTAAAAATATACTAAGGCAATCTACTCCGAATGCACGTTCGACAATGACAATTATTCAAATGAAGTTGGGAATATCAACAATAGGAAATTATTATTAATCCCTACTAATGAGTGATTGCTGTTTGAATTCAAAGAAATAAATTGCTTTATCTTTCACTACGATTGTTTTAATTATATTCTAGATTATACATGAATTGAATTAGATTAAGCTATAGATGCAAGATGTCGAATCAATAGCATAATGATCCTGTATGCTTTGCACATAGCCTGATGGTGTTTAGTTCGATCACGTGTACCGACAAGAGTGTCCCTTGATTTTCTGTGGTTATGACTCAGTGATGTAAACTAAAAGAAACGTATAATTTATTTACACAAAGAGTGAGAATAAGAATGTATGAGTTGATGGGTATGATTTATTATCTTCATAATTGAAATCATGAGTCAATTGAAGCTAGACAACCAAGGAAAACCTGGAAGCACTGAACGGTCTTTCCCTGGTTGTCTAGCTTTAATTGACTCATGATTTCAACTATGAAAATACTGAAATCTCCACAAAACCCCCTTCTGATTATGATTTATTAATTAACAGAATTTATTTAAATTATTTGCGAATAATAATTGTGGTATATTTAAATTTTAATCTTAATGTACCAATATTTCAGAATTTCATGTTACTAGTTTCAATATATTATTACGTAATAGGTAAAATCTAATAGTATTCTTGTTCAGTAAATAAGTGATTCTTTATTGATTCAGCACTTATCATTCATTTGACTACATTATAACCTTTCTTTTCTTAACTTTATCATAAATTTAAGATTGATGAACTAATAATAGTTGAATTGATGAGTCGATTAAAGCTAGACTATCATAGAAAATCTGGAAGCACTGGATGACCATTTCATCCTATTATGTGACTCCTCAGCAGTGCGCATCCACGATCCTGATCATGGAATTCGAACTAAGAATCTAACGGTCTGACGCGTGAACGCTTAACCTATAAATCACTGAGTTGACATCCAACGGTGTTAATGTCTAACTTCAACCAATCTACAAAACTGAGCTACCGTCCACGTTATACGTGAAACTTTTTTCAAACTATCGATTTATTTTGTCACTATAACTGACTTGATTTCTTTTTTACAAGTCATATGACTACTAGAAAGTACATAAGCGTATTATTTTCAATAGAAGTAAATATCTGTGATCATTTTTCTCACTTTTATCCAATAGTTCATTAAACTACTGACGTCAAGATAAGTAATTAAATTAAAATTATATTTATAATCTTACTGAAACACTGTTCTATTTTTCAATGCTCAATTGTCAATAAAATACATTGGACAAAACGGTCAGACTATAATATATGAACGAACCAATGAAATTAAAGATAGTATGTCTTGGATTTGGGCGCGAAATTCATTTATCTACATAGTTCAAATAGGATTTCAGGATTATAGCTGGTATCATTTCATAGTGAAAGTTTTTACTTTAATTCATAACCTTAAATTCAAAGTCTAAATCCGAATTCCTCATGTTATTTAAAACTTTCTTTATCAGAAGGGGGTTTTGTGGAGATTTTTGTAATTTTATAGGTTCTGGGTTCGAATCTCATGAGGCGGGATCGTGGATGCGCACTGCTTACAAGTCCCACAATAGGGCGAAACGGCCGTTCAGTGCTTCCAGGTTATCCATGGTGGTTTATTTTCAATCGACTCATGATCTCAACTATATATAAAATTACTAAAATCTCCACAAAACCTCCTTCTGATAATGATCATATGCTCACTAGTGACTGGCTCCATGAGGTAATTCCTGGAGTTTTAGTGAGAAGTAGTGACCAGTGGAGCTAATCCATATCAGGTAGAGACAGGTATCTACCTCAGTACAATGGAAGTTGGTGGCGCAATTTCGTGGATTGGTGAAAGTTATACATCGACACCGTTGGATGCCGTCTCAGTGGTCTATCGGTCAAGTGCACGCGCGCGAGACTGGTAGGTCCTGGGTTGAAAACTCGCGACGCGAGATCGTGGATGCTCACTGCTTAGGAGTCCCACAATAGGATGGAACGGCCGTCCATTGCTTTCAGGTTTTCCAAGGTGGTCTAGCTTCAATTGACTCATGATCTCATCTATAAAACCCTCTTTTATCACTAGTGAGTAGGAGAATTGTCTTAAGGTTAAAGGTCGCCCAAGGGTCCTCCATAAGTTATAGTCTCACCATTTTAGTTTAGTAAAGTAGATACGATATATTTATTATATATTTGTTGTCAAATTAATTTTTTGAATACAATCCAGAGATGTTTGAGTGTATATTTTACGAAGTTTTGATGAGGAATATAATGATCATATAGTGAAGTTTGGTGACATTACTATTGAACTATTTAGATTAAGTCACTGGAATGAAATATGAATTTTCTATCTAATAACTGAAAGTCTATAATTTCATCTTAATAGATTAGGTATGTAATAGATCGAAAATGATAACATTGAATGATTTTTATATCAGCTTATGAAATGATTGATAATACGGAATAGGTAAATCCCATGATTCCTGTTTTATGACTCATTTGTGTTCTGAATGCAATAAGATCCATAATTCCTTGAATTCTAATAATGAATTCAACTGTATTAATACATGACGTGAAAACGATCTTCAACTCAAATAATCTACTCAAATCATCTAATTGTCTCACAGTAACTAATTTCAAATAGGAATGGGAGTTTTATGAATGATATCAGATTCCTTTATTCGTTGAGATTATGTTCTAACTATTATGGATTAAAATAAAAGGGAACATTTTAGGAACATTTATTGTCACTGTGCATATATATTGCTCAAAAATAGGTTAGAGTTAGAAATTATAACTCGATTGAAGATTCTTTCAATTTAATCCCCCCTCACCCAAAATATTGTAAAGGATTAGAAAGATATGTAAAAAGTATAATTGATTGTCCAAAAATATGAAAATGATGCAGATCAACCTCACAACATAAAGATACAACTTGATTAGATAATCTATGTATTTTATATTTTGATGTTGATCAACTAAGTTTTTCGAATTTATATACGAGGAAATATTTGAAATTAAATCAAGCTTCATCAAGGTTACTAACATGGGTTACTTCTCCAGGTTATTGATTTCTATACATTCACTATTGGCTACATTGTGTAAGATGATACTACTTCTGATCAAGTCTCAAGATTACTTTGAATATAACATGTGTTAATGTCATATAATCGTATAGTTTAGAAGTTATTACATAGTTCATTAGACTAACTATTAAATCAGGTCTTATTCTTTAGAAGAGAATTTATGTTTAGCAAAAATCTACAAAGTGGGCAATATTGATTCATTATCCTCCCAAGTAAGATGAAACTCTGTTCAACACAGGTAGGGTTGATTTCACTTATCTCTACACCACTTTAATTTTATAAAATTATGATAAATAACTTATGATAGTGATAATAATCAGTAAAAGATGGAAATAGTTAATTGAATTTATCAATATTGCTTAATTTTTTTCGTTTATATCACGACAATGTCATCAAGGGTACACACTGACGAATAGTCTCATTCTAGAACGAAATAGCTATCTGATACGTCTTGATCCACAATGGTTTTTTTAAAATATGATCAATCTGTGATTCAGATCTACTCTTTTTCAACAGTATGATACATTCCAACATAGTTATTGATAGCTAAAATCCTTATTACAAGTGTGGTGTGGTCTACTTATATCCATATAAGTAGTATATGGTGTGGGTCAGACATAGAATGTATTTTGGCAGAAGACCGATCAGGAAAGAACTGAAATGAAGCGCAATCGTTTGCAAAATGCATGAGCAATGGAATAAGAGAAGAAACAGTGAAGATTGAAACAATTGGTTATTAATTTGCA